TTTTTCTGTCGCAAAAAAAAATTAAAAAAAACAATGTCGTCTTATTCTTTTGATATAACATTTCTCTTTTTATTCATTTTTTCATCTTCTTGTCTCTCTGTCTCTATCTCTCTCTTCTCTTTATCTCTTTCACTCATCACTCTTCTTTCTCTATCTGTTTGTTTCTCTCTCATTTTCTCTCTGTGTCTCTCGTCTATCTCTCTTCTCTCTATCTCTCTCATCTGTTTTCTCTCTCTGTCTCTCTCACTCATCTCTCTTCTCTCTATCTCTCTCATTTCTTTTTTCTCTCTCTCTCTTATCTTTCTATCTCTCTCGCTCATTTCTCTTCTCTCTCTGTCTCTCTCTTTTTCTATGTCTCTCTCTCGCTCATCTCTTTTTGCTCTATTTCTCTCTTTTTTTGTCTATCTCTCGCTCATCTCTTTTTCTATCTCTCCCTCTATCTCTCTCTCTCTCTCTTTCTTTCTCTAGCTCTCTTTCTGTCTATCTCTCTCTTTCACTGTCTCTCTCTCACTCATCACTCTTCTCTTTCTCTCTCTCTCTCTCTCTCTCTCTCTCTCTCTCTCTCTCTCTCTCTTTCTGTGTCTACTTGTCTATTTGTCTATCTCTCCCTCACTATGTTCACCTTACTCACTCTCTTCCTCTCATTTTCTCTATTTATCGAGCTCCTTCTCGATTTATTGATCCACTATAAACAACGTCGTCTTACTCTTTTGAACATTTCTCTTTTCACCCATTTTTTTCATCTTCCTATCTCTCTGTCTCTGTCTTTGTCTCTGTCTCTCTTCTCTTTCTCTCTCTTACTCATCACTCTTCTCTGTCTGTCTGTCTCTCCCTTTCTCTATGTGTCTCTGTCTCTCTTCTCTCTCTCTCTCTCTCTCTCTCTCTCTCATCACTCTTCTCTTTCTGTCCGTCTCTCTCTTTCTCTCTATGTCTCTGTCTCTCTTCTCTTTCTCACTCTGACTTATCACTTTTCTCTATCTGTCTCTCTCTCTCTCTCTCTCTCTCTCTCTTTCTCTGTGTCTCTCGTCCATCTCTCTTCTCTCTATCGCTTTCATATATCTTCTCTCTCTCTTATTTTTTTCTCTCTCACTCTCTCGCTCATCTCTTTCTGTCTCTCTCTCATTTATCTATTTTCGCTCTTTTTTTCTCTCTCTCTGTCTCTCTCTCTTTGTCTATATCTTTTCACCCATTGTTTCATCTTCTTCTCTCTCTTTTCTTTCTCTCTCTCATTCATCACTCTTCTCTCTCTGTCTGTCTATTTGTCTCTCTCTACCTCTCTCTATGTGTCTCTCATTCATCTATCTCTTCTCTCATCTATTTTCTCTCTTTGTCTCTTTCGCTCATCTCTCTTCTCTCTATCTCTCTCACTTATTACTACTACCATCGTCACCACTCCACTACCACCACTACCACTATTACCACTACTGCGTAAATATTGATCCACTGTTTCTCTCTTTCTCTCTATGTGTCTGTCTGTCTGTTTGTCTCTCTCCCCCATTGTGTTCACCTTGCTCATATTCTTCCTTATCTCTTCTCTATTTACCAAGTTAGCCACTACAAGAAAATGCACTTTTAGCGACCACTTTGTCTATCTCTCGCTCATCACTTTGTCTCTGTCTGTCTGTCTGTCTCTCTCTCTTTCTCTCTCTCTCTCCATCTCTCTTCTCTATCTGTCTCTCACTCATCTCTCTTTCACCACCTATCTTCTCTACCACATTCACCACTACTACAAATGCCATTCCACTACTACCACTATTGTCACTCCACCTCTACAACTATCATTACTACCACCATCGCTACCACTCCGCTACCACCACTACTACTACCATTACCTCTCCTCTACCACTGCTATGCTATCTCCTCTACTACTACTACAACTTCACCACTTATCTCCTTTACCATCACTACCACCACCACTATCACCTCTTATCCACCACTTTCACCACTACTGCCACTTCCTATCCTCTACCACAAAAAATTAGTTCTTGAATTTTAGTAACAAAAAAAAAATGGGTCACAAAAAAATATTTTTCATTGACCACAAAAAATTAACTTTATTTTAATGGAAAATATTATCCCTACTTCTACCAAATAAAAAAATAATAATAATTTTTTATTCATTAAAATAAATATGAAACAAATAAATTTTTAACCTTACTAAATGAAAAAAAAAATTCATTAACTATAAAAAAAATTCATTAACTATAACATTTGTGGGTGTGTGTAGGGTTTTGTTTGAGAACACACACACAACACAAACACAACAGAGCCGTCTCCTCTCCTCCTACTCTCTCCATCTAGGGTTTTGCCTTCCTCTCTCTCTCTTTCACACAACGACGGCGCCGATCATCCGTCACCGCCGATCCTCCCTCACCCCCGATCCTCCCTCACCGTCGCGCGTACCTCACTGTCAATCCTCCTCCCTTACCACCGCTGCTGCCTCCCTCTCTCTCTCTCTCACAGACGACGTTGACGGTTGCTCGCCCCTCACCGCCACTCCTCCCTCGCCGGCGATCTTCCCTCACCGCCGATTTCAAAGGGTATCTCTCTCTCTCTCTCTCTCTCTCTGTGTCGGGATTTCGGATATAGGGGGTTTTCATACACACACACACACACACACACACATATATATATACACATCTGTGAGTGTATATAGGGGGTTTTTGATCTGTTACATATAGGGTTTTGTGATCTTGCACTCTTTCTTTGGTGATTCTTAACTTGTGTTGTTATAAGATCATAATTTTATGGTGATATATGTGTATATATGAATAATGTGATGTTTCTTCTTGAATGGGAGTGTAGATTCTTGTTGGGTCTTTGATGATGCATTTGGGTTTTGATTAGCATGCTCTGTGAAATTCTTGGCTCTCAGTCTGCTCTGTTGCAGTTTTTAAGATTTCTGTCTTTTCAAGAACAAATTATTCATCATCAATCCATTCCCATATGTTGAAATATATATATATATGAGTTGATCTTTTATTGAGTTTTTGATCTGTTACATATATATATATGTATATATGATCTGGTTTTTTTCTTGATCTGTTAAATAAATATATCTATATATATATAATTGATATTGGGAAATATAAATAAATATATATATCTGTTAAATATATCATTCCCTTTTTGATTTATGGGGATGCAATGTCATCTTGGTTAAGCTATCTTGGGAAATAAATTGTAGCAGAGAATATGATTTGTTTTCAAGTATCTTTAAACTAGGAAGTGTTGTTTCTCAGTACTAAACATGTCTCCATTTTGCCAATGGGAGTTTGTTTTTGGTATCTAATTGATCTCCATGTATTTAGACATTTTGCTATTTTGATCTCCATTTTGCCGTTTTGATCTCCATTATGCCATTTTGATCTCCATGTAATTGATCTCCATTTTGCCATTTTGCCAATGGGAGTTCGTTTTTGGTATCTAAACATGTCTCCAACTTGTCTAGTATTTATATACGCCTCCTTTTGTTTTAATAGTTTTCCTCAGTTATGGAAATTTTTATGCTTTTAGTCAACTTTTTATCTTGATCTGTGAATCATTAATTCAAGGCATGTACTAATTCATTTATGCTATTTTGCTGGGTTCCCATTTGTACTTAATTGGGATTGGAATACAATGGATTTGATTTTTTATCTTGTAATGGATATTTTTTTTTAAGTTTTAATTTCAATTTTTGGGTAACCTATCCCTTGTACTTGGGATTAATTATTTTCTTTGCTACTTGTTGAATTTTCTTGTGTGTGGGTTGTGTATGGGCTGCTGAATTTTCTTGGAGAAACAGGATGCTATTTTATGAGTTTTGTATGGCACTGTCTCAATGATGACAGTCTCAATGTTTTGTATGCTACATGATGTTTTGTGTATGGGTTTTGTATAGCAGTCTCAATGTTACAGGATGTATGGCACTGTATGGGTTTTGTGTATGGCACTGTGTGGGTTTTGTGTGCAGGATGTAATGTGTGTGGCACTGTCTCAATTCTCAATGTTTTGTATGGCACTATGTGGGTTTTGTGTGTGGGTTTTGTATGCTACAAGATGTAATATGCAGGATGTAATATGCAATTTCAGATGCTACAGGTTCTGTATTACAGGATGTAATATGCAATTTTTTTTTTTATTGGCAAATATGTTGGCAAATATTTTTGGTTGGTTAACTTGATGACCAACCATTGCCCCTGCTAAGTCCATCCTATGAGACCAAGAGTGGGGGGACATTGAGGTCTGTTACTTGGTAGCTGATGCAGGAATTTGCCCTTTTGCTATCTCTAGTGGGTACGTGTTTTGCACCCTTTTTCAGCACATCAACTATTTTTTATTTTTATTTCTATTTCTATTTTGTTTTTTATTTTTAGTTTTGAGAATTTCCACTGAAGTTTTATAAATAGAGAGGTTCTAAGCATTATTAGTAACTTATATAAAAAAAATTAAAAAAAGTTTCATGTTTTCCTACTGAATACTTTAGCAGTTGTACATATATCATTTGACCTTTTCTCATTGGTGTCTTCATTTTCAAGTTTCTAAGACATTAAAACCATATGTTTGGCATAGGTGATTCTTTTTCTTGTTAAAACTATTTTTGCGTTTTGTTAATTTATTAAGAAAATTACTTTAATCAGCTACCAGATGGAAGGGTCATCAAAGTTAGCACAGAACGGTTCCAAGCTCCAGAGGCTCTTTTTACTCCTGTAAGTCTGTTTTTCTTGTTAGTTACTTATCTTCAAGAAAATGGGAATTTATCTCTTCTACTATTTGGTACATATACACAGCTATGAGGGCTGGTTGATGGATCTTTGTGCCTTAATTAAAATATGGGTACACTTCCTCTGCATATGTACTTTAACAAGATGATTGTGAATAGGTTAAAATTGTTGGTTTGTACAACTTTCTAAGACACTTTGTAAATTGATGGATATATTTGATCAACTGAAGAATCCAAATTGATGGGTATATGCACTATAGCTATAGAGGCAGGTCCTTTTGCCATGGACCACTCCCTACCTCGTGCCATATACATTTTGTAATGCATTTGGGTTTATTTCATTTATTTTGTTTTATTTAACTTTTAATTTGTTTTATTTTTCACAGCTCTACCAACACATAGTTTTAAGTGGGGGGAGTACTATGTATCCTGGATTGCCTAGTCGGTAAGAAATTTAAATCCCCTTTTGCATTATATAAAATCATTGCACTGCTTTCTTCTTGGTGATTAATTTATCTCTCACAAGTTATATTTGCAGTGATTTTTCAACTTATTGGACTTTTTGAAAACTTGGTATTAATTGCTCTATGTTCTTCTCTTGGAAAACATCTGTCCACATGTTTTACAGTCTTGCAACTAAAGTAGTCATCTGCTTTTGTGATTTTAATAGTGAATCGCTAATCTAGTTTCGTAAGAACCCAAGGAGATGCCCTCTTTAGTTCTGATACTTCGATATAGCTTTAAATTTAGTTTTTGAAGTTTTTCATTTTTATTTTCCTACAGCCTGGAGAAAGAAATTTTAGACCGTTATCTTGAAGCTGTTCTGAAGGGAAACAAGGATGGGTTAAAGGTAAGACCCAAGTTACATGTGTTATGGTATGGAAGGAGAAGAAAAAAGAAAAAATTATCATGTTTTTTTTAATTTTGTTCATCCAATTTAACAATGAGGCTCTCACTTCATGTTAGCGAACAATTCTTCTGATCTTCTTCTACTTCTACTGTAACAGAAACTACGGTTGCGGATAGAGGATCCACCGCGAAGAAAGCATATGGTGTACCTTGGAGGAGCAGTCCTTGCAGGAATTATGAAGGTACAGTGTTGCCTCTCTCTCTCTCTCTCATACAAACCAGGACATAGTGGTTTTAATGATGTGTTTTGTCAACTTGCATTTTTCACCCCCATGTTAAGTATCTCTTGTGCTTCTAAAAGTAGACCACAATATTTGGACAGTGCATTTGTTGCTTTCAGATTTTTGAAAAGCAAACTGAAATGAAGAGCAAAAAAGGAAAGCAAGAAAAGAAAAAATAAATAAAGGGAAAATAATTTTCTTAACAAAAAGCAATTTTTTAGATACAGGGAACAAAAACATGAATTGATATGAAGTTGGACATTGAGAAATTTGATTACTCGTGCAGGATGCACCAGAGTTTTGGATTAGCAGAGAAGATTACCTAGAAGAGGGAATTGCATGTCTAAGCAAGTGTGGCCAAGCATGAATTTTTGGCTAGGAGAGTGTTAGCATTTAAGTCTTCCAAGAGTTGGGTGGCTAATGCAGTGATCTATTTTTGTGATAATTCTAGCAAAAGTTTCGTTATGCCACACGTATCGCCCAAAAAAAAAATCTCACCATGCCATACCCCTATTGCTAGGTATAGGGAAAAAATTATGTGTTTTAATGCTTCCTACATATCTTTATATTGGTGGAGCAGATGTCTATCATGTATATCAGTGTAACAATTTTTGTACTTGAATTTTCCCTTTTATCGTAGGATGTTTTTTTCTTTTTTGCGACGGCATTACACCGTCGCAAAAAATAGAAAATTTTAATATTTTTATTAATTTTGTTACAGGTTTTACTTTTTGCGACGGTATTATACTGCCGCAAAAAATAGAAATTTTATTATTTAAAATAGTAATTTAATTATTTTTTAATACTTTTTGCGACGGCATTACACTGTCGCAAAAAATAGAAATTTTCATATTTTTAATACTTTTTGCGATGGCACCACACCGTCGCAAAACAGCGTTTTTGCCGTTGCAAAAAAGACTACTAGCGACTGTAAAATAGTGTCGTCGCAAGAAAGTTAAGAAATGTCAAACGTTATTAGCGACTGCACAGTGCCGTCGCAAAAAGGCAAAAATGCTGTCGCAAAACATTAGCGACGGCACTGTGCCATCGCAAAAACTCTTTTGCAACCCCTGCAATTGCGACCCCTCTTGCCGTCGCAAAAAGTCATTTTCCCGTCGCAAAAAGTATTAGCGACGGCATTAGGAGTATCGCAAAAAGTCAATTTTTTTGTAGTGTTTATACCATTAAAGAGACGATTGAAAATTTTATTTGGTCATTGAATCTGCCAGAAAGTTGTATGAATTTTTAGACAATTTTATACTGAAAATTTTGAAATGATTTCTTCTACAAAGTTGTTTATAATGATGTCTAATTCATCCATGAATTTTTGCAACAATTATTGAGTTTTGTACGAATTTATATAGATTTTTAACCAAACCTGGAGCTATAGGCAGATTTTACTATGTGTTTGAAAAATTATTAAAATTTTATATTAAACCAAATCTAGTAATTTCTAAACAAGAAATAAAATTTGAGAAGTCTAGTTTCATAATAAATTTTTATATTATGGAATTGATTTATAAATTTAAGTATGGAATTAATTTAAGAAAATATGATAAATCTGTGTCATAAACTTTCTTGGAATTTTTAAGAATTATTTATAATTTATTTTTGAAAAATGACCATAAAATGTTTGTTGAGTATTCTATAGATTCATATGAATTTTAGAGTTGTATAAGTAATTTATTTATAATTTTATTTGCAAGATATACATTCTGAAAATTTTGGCAAATTCATGAGGAATCAAAAAACTTCTCTTCTATTGTTTATTTGGACTAAAATTTAATATTACGTTAGTCTAATCTTGTAGATTAAAAATCCATGCATGTATATGGCTATGATTTATTTCTTTTTGGTATCTACACTATTATTTCATGCCATGGTTTAAATTAATTGTTTATTTAAATTTTGTACATAGATTTATTTTTGTGTGATATGTGTAATATTTTATGTTAGGAATTTTAATGAGTTGGTGCAACATTATTGGTGAATAAAAATTTGAATTATTTGTGATTAATATAAAAACTAACTGAAACGATTAACGGCATATACAAAGTTAACAATTGACGGTTAATACCAGTTACTCAAGGTGAGTCTTGGTTTTAAAGAGTGTACGAAATTAAGGGTTGACGGTTAATGCTAGCTGTTCAGGGTGAGCCCTGGTTTTGAGAATTCTCACGTAAATTGTGTCACGAAACCCTAAGATGGCTCGAGACTTATTTGAACCCTTTTCGGTATTCGATTTTGGAATAAGGGTGGATGTGTAGGTGGCACACAGGGAGGTTACGTACCCCTGGCAGACAGTTTCCATGGGGCAGACCACAGATGCCACTACTTTGGTATATAACTCCGGACGTGGGCATCCCTGGTAGTTACGGTTGGTAACACTTGAATATTTGACCAAGAGGGGGTTTCAAGGTTTAAAGTTTCATTACAGATTGCCCCCTGAGGTTTAAAACTGCATAACAGTTCCCCCCCTCACCGTAATGATCATCATATATAAAATTAAATTAGCAGGGGGGTCAGTGTAATTTTCCAAATGTGAGGGGGGGAACTGTAATAAACATAAATCCCAGGGGGTGTCAGTGTAATTTACCCTTTTTTATTTAATCCACCCTTTTATCTTGTTTATTTTATTAGGTAGGTAATTTGAAATTTTAGATGTGAATCCAACTCAATTTGTGTTTGAGCAAAGGTGTTTGTGCTAGAGGAAAGGTTTGTATGCTCATAATCTTTTATTGATCTTGTCAAACTTCTTGGACCGCTCGAACAGTTAAGTGTGCGTTCGATTGCTAATTTGGAACATCCCCGTATCTCTGTCTGTATCTCTATTTGATTTCAGAGAGACAGAGATACTGAGAGGTGTGCTTTATTGCTTGAGCAGTAAGTCTTGCACTCGAGCGAAATGACAGGTGGAATGTTGTTGGAATCGCCTTTCAGACACACCACTCAAGCGGTCATTTATGTGCTTGAGCAGTCATCACCACTCTGGATCTTTTAAATCGCCTTAGATGCATAATTTAGGGCTAATCCTTCCAGAATTCTCTCTAAAGAGATAAGGCAAAGCGTTCTATATTAAAGGGTCTTTATTGATTGTTTACCTTGATGAATTGAAGGTGATCAATGGATTAACAAGTTTTATATTGAAGATCATCAAGGGATTTCTTTCATTCAAATTCATTCTAAAAAGAGATTCATCACTGGATTCTGTAGAACTTGAGTTTGGAGGCTTTGGTGAATTCCAAAGTGGCTCTTTATCGTAGATTCGAGTTTGGCGTTATGAATTCAACATTTGGCGAAGCAATTTTGAGGTGAAGACACTGTTGGAAGAGGCATAACAAGTTCGGTTCAATTTAGGCGTGGATTCGCTTGGTAATTAATGGTTCTATTGTGTAATTCATTTGTCTTCTTAGTAAATTATTTTGTGATTTTCGTCCGTGATTTTTTATCACAATTGGAGGTGCTCTAATTGTAAATTTTTTACGTTATATCGTTGTGTCGCTTTTGTTGATTGTTTAGAAATAATCTAAATCACTATCATATTGACTTGATGATTTATATTATTATCTAATTAGATCATTTTTTATTTGATTGAAAATTGTTATTCATTGTTCAAATTAAATTCTAATTATAAATCACAATCTCAAAAGTTTTTAGATTTTTCAACACGGAATTGATATTTTCCGTGATAGCTTGAATTGTTGAGTTCACAGTGTGATGATTTTATCGATTACTAATTGTTTATAAACTTTGCACTACTGACCTGATAACTCCAATGATTCATGCTCTCTCCAATTTTGTTTTCTGATAATACAGTAAAATATTTTATTTTAAGTGAGCCAATCACACTTGAAATAGGGCTCAATACACTATTTTAATCTATCTCGTCCAAGTTATACGAATAAAATAATTTTCAACAAAAATGTTAGAGATTTTAAAATTTGTATTAAAAATTCTACCAAATGTTTCACATGATTGTGAGATCCACATAATATAAAACATTTAGTAAAGATTTTAATGAAACTTTTAGGACTCTTGCATTACTCAATTTTCAATGTATTGATTTGGATAAAATCTCTTTCTATATTGCCCACAGCTTTTGAGCACTCATTGCACAAATTTAAAAAATAATAATAATAATTTAGTCTTTGAAAATTATTTTTAAGTTTTTCATTTTTTGTTTTTAGTAATTTTTTTCAATTTTTAATAAAATTTTTTAAATGCACTTAATTTTAGATACATTAAAAAAATAAAATATTTGTGAACAAATATATAAAAAATAGACTACATGCGTATTTTTAGAAATAGACTAAACGCAATAAAATAAAAATGATATGATTATCGGAACGACTTGATATACGAGATCCGTAATGAATCCAACGAACCTGAACATAACGATTCAATCATATTTAAACTTGAAAAAAAATTCTTTTTTTAGAGCCCGACCTAAAAATAAATTTAAAAATTAAAAATTTTAAAAAGTAACCTTGAGTCCTCAAGTCACCAGTCAGAGTCTTTATAAGCCACAAAAAAGATCACTTAGCGACATTAATCTCAAGAATTGAAAGTCAACAAATAAAGGCCTAAAAAATAAGTAAAAAGGTTCATTTCATTTCATTTCATACACTTTATAATAGTTCTCTAGCTACCTTTTTTTTTTTTATGTTTAGTGGAATATTCAGAGCTTTGTTCCGATGAATATTTTATTTTACATATATCAATTCGCACATATTGAGTGAATATTAAGTAATTACTAAACATAAGTTTCGAAATAATCTCAAAAGGTTCAAGAGTTTTGTGAGATTCAAACTCGTAACTTATGTTTCTTAGTTTATTTATCACGATTCCAGTTATAACTCAGCTAATTCCTTAAAACATCCAATTATGATCAATCTAACATCTATAGTTAGGGTGTTAATTGGTAAAAAAAAAAAATCATTAAATTGTTTAAAATTTGAAGCC